TAGCCCTTCCCGGTAACTTAATGCAAGGATTGTTTTTCATTTTGTTTTGAGTGTTTATGAAGTCTGCTCTGAGCAGCAAACAAACATTATCATATACCTTTCCTCCTCCTTTTAAACATTTATGCAGCTATTTTACTGTAAAGCCAAACACTGCAAATTGTTTAAGTACATGTATGCTCTTTTAATATTTTGGAAAACAACAGCACAAGCAAACAAAAGAGGTGGAAAAAGAAAATTTACTTCTTTTTTAAGGGCAACCCTACTGTGCTGAATAGGACTTCCCAATGAGTATGTATGCGCCTGCATCCTTAAAACCCCAGAGGGGCAAGTGTCCTGGAAGCAAGAATGCCATCAGAAGGCAGGAAAAGTGTGCACCTGTTCACACCAGAAAAGATTGCTTTGGTGGGAAAGATCTCTCTTAATTTTATATCTCTATCCTGCCCAACTACAAGGGGATGCTGATAAGTATTGAGCCTTTCCCTGAAAAAAATTGAGCTAGGGAGGTGTAACTGCCATACTATTCTACATATTCCCCCAGGAGGTCAATGCACCTGCAACATCTGTCCTGCAGCTTCTTAAGTCCTTGCAAATAAAATTCTTCCACCTGCTGGTGTAACCACTGATTTACAGCATTAGTTGCCTCCAGAACACTCCCAAATCGTTGTCCCTTTAGGTGTTTTTTGAGTTTGGGGAACAGATAATAGAAAGAGCCAGGTGAGGAGAATAGGGTGGATGGGGCATCACTTGAAAGCCTAAGGATGTCAGTTTTGCCATTGTTTCACCTGCAGTGTATGACGAGGCATTGTCATGCAACAGGATGATACCTTTGGAGAGCTTTCCTTGATGTTTTGCCTCAAATTCATCAATAAAGCACAGTAATATTTTGCATTGATGGTTGAACTCTGTTGGAGATAGTCCACCAGCAGAACGCTCTTCTTATCCCAAAAAACCTATTGCCATTTGCTTCTGCACCGACCTTTGCACTCGGAACTTCTTTGGCCTGGAGAAACCACTGTGCCTCCATTCCTTAGACTGTTCCTTTTTTCTCAGGATCATAACAGTAGATCCATGTCTCATCACCAGTTACCAGTTTGC